TGTCATGCATAACATAATGCATTTCCCCAGGAATAAACTTAATAAAAAGCAGCATATATGAAGTTAAAACCATTATACCCAATTATCTTAATAATAACCTATTCCTAGATAGTCATCACTATAGGAACCATCATCCTATGTGAAAAAACTCACTGGAAATGAGGCATGCTATAGAACTATAAAGAAATGAAACGTAAGCATAAATCTCACATTCAAATTGTGCCTGGACCTCACTTTGTGAAGGATTCATAGACAAATTGTTATGGAAACCAGAACCATATATAGGATGTATATGAAGCTAAAACCCAGGGCAGAGTTTTAACTTGTTTCTAGCAGAAGGCAGATATACACAACACAGAGAGGTTCTCAATGGCAACTGCAAAATATTAGGAAAAAAATTAAACATTACTTAGGAAGAAATTACCAGACACTCAAACAAGCAAAAATGAAAAAATTAGCATTTGAGGAACTGCAGTAAGAGAATCTTCCCTTTGTCCTTTGTAGTTTTTAGTATTTTGGAATGGGCCTGTTGCTCATATTATGTCATTACCATTAACCACAAATGGAATCTAGTTATAAAAAAGAGAGTTACAAATTTAAATAAACCATACAGGTCCTTGATGTATGACTGGTCACTTAGCAACCATTCAATGTTATGACTGATTTACCTTGGGGCTACTTATGACCCAGATTCAATGTTCCAATAGATGACGGATGGTCACGTGACCGAACATTGGGCACTTGGCAACACAGCCACAGTTACAGATGTTTCCAGCATCTCATGGTCATGTGCCTAGGCATTTTACAACATTTTTGCTAAAAACTGGGACTTACTTCCGGTTTTGAGCAAAACTGTCCCTATTATGAACCATTGGTTCACTTAGCTGTGGGGAAAAAAAGTTGTGACCCACCCATTTCATGACTGTCACAATTTACAACCGTGACAGGCAGGTTCCATTACAGTTGTAAATCAAGGACTGCCTATATATGAAAATGCAAAGTGAAGCCCGGTTTAACAGATGAATGCAGAGGAGGTACAGCTATTATTCAAGAAAGTCTTCAAATCAAATCAAAAAGCAGACGGGATGTACATAATTTACTTGATGGCGTCATCAACACAAGGAAGTAAAACTGATGCAAATAATATAATTTGTGTAATCGGCGGAATGGCGCTGTTTTACCCATGACATAAATTGCAGAGGACATTTAATCTGTAGCATGTGATTGGTTACATCAAATTCTGGTAAAATATGGTTTTATAGTATACACAACTTGACTTGGCTAAATTTTCCTCAGTGTGCCTAACCACAACCCAAAACATACTGAAGTACACATACATCATACATAGTACAAGTTATATACATATCACTTACTAGATGATAGCATGTAGCTAACACTGAATGACCTCTAAAAGCTAAGCAGGGTGGACCTGATTGATCATGTGACAGACAACATTGTTTTTACAAGAGAAACAGACAAGTATGTTACATCACTGAAAACTTGAAATTTGCTGCTGGTAATATGCATGAAATATGCAGCAATTACTGTGCAATGTAACAATGGGGTACATCATCATATTAAGCCAGATATGTTTTAACTGTAATTGCTGGCTAAGCACAATCAGCTTGGTTATGTCATACTAAGCCCTAAACCAGTTTTTAAACCACAGAAATTGGGTTCTCATATCACGTTAAGCCAAAATCAAAGAATGTTACAGCTGAGCCAGAAATAACAGGCACAAAATGACGGCTGTTTTTATCTGCTTACACTGAGAACTTTTTCTATGAAAAAATATTCTGTCTCTGAAAGAAAATGACCACAGTTATTCTTGCCCTTCTTTTAACAGGCTAGATCAGGGGTGTCAAACTGCCGGCCCGCGGGCGAGATGCGTCATGCCGAAACCACGCCAACCCCATTGCCGGCAATGGAAAAAAAAGTCGAGATATGTCGCGACACGTCACGTGACGTTGTGAGTTTGACACCCCTGGGCTAGGTGAAGCCTGAACCTAATTTGACACTCCCAGAATTATTATCAATTGTGTATTACTTACATTTCCAGAAAAAAGCATATTTGCATATTTGAAAGGAGAATCTATGAGATGAAGCCCTTGACAATACATTTTAGATTGCTGGTCTAGGAAGGCCACCCACTTCCAAAGGGGCAAACAAACCAGTGGTGGCCCTAAATAGTAGTTCTATCAACCTGAGAAAGAATGTTGTAAAACAAACGTAACACATAGATTTGAAATATAGCACCTTAAGATAAACAAAAGGTCATGCTTTGTTAATTAGCAAAGGAATGCATCAAGGGTCTGCCCACAAGCTTTTCTTGATGATGAAGACACTCAAAATCCTTCATTCATATTTCCCCAATGGGTACAACCTTCCACATTTATGGCATGGCATCTTCCGGAATTCCTAGCCAGTATGGAATTTTGGGAGGTGTAGTCTCAAAACTTCTGCAAGGCACTAGAAGGACTGGAGAAACCACCCTACCCACAATAAAAGCCAAATAACAGGACTGCAATGAATAGGCATTTCCAGTGGATCTCATATTGGACAGGATCAATTAAGTAGTGCTGGTGAGTCAGCTTCAAATGCACTTACCCTCTGAGAAGTGCATTATATACATTTTTCCCATTTTGAAACATAAGCAGATAAACCTAAGAATAATACTATACGAAAAGCCTGTAGCTAAAGTCCTGGCAAGTAGCTACAGGAGTTTTTGGACAGGGAGGGAAGGGAAGGGAAGGGAAGGGAAGGGAAGGGAAGGGAGGGGAAGGGAAGGGAGGGAGGGAGGGAGGGAGGGAGGGAGGGAGGGAGGAAGGAAGGAAGGAAGGAAGGAAGGAAGGAAGGAAGGAAGGAAGGAAGGAAGGAAGGAAGGAAGGAAGGAAGGAAGGAAGGAAGGAAGAAAGAAAGGAAGGAAGGAAGGCTGTGCCACAAGCACATAATGCAATATTAGGAGTTTTTCCAGGAGATTTTACCATGAAATGTGGTGTGGGCTAACAAGTTGATTTACTTTAAAAAATTAAAATTCTTGGAAGTCACTGGGATCTGCTGGGAGACTAGTAGGCCTTCCTGCGTAGTTGGTTGGTCACTGTGAGAACAGATTGCTGGATTAGAAGGGCAGGAGGTCTGATCCAGCAGAGCATTCCTTATGTTCTCATATACAAGATTGTGTTTCCCTTCCTCTAAAATCTGGGGAATCTTACAGTTGTTAAGTTAGTAACACGGTTGTTAAGTGAATCTGGCTTCCCCACCGACTTTGCTCGTCAAAAGGTCACAAAAGGTGATCACATGACCCCAGGACACTGCAACTGTAAATATGAGTCAGTTGCCAAGTGTTTGAATTTTGATCACATGACCATGGGGATGCTGCAATGGTCATCAGTATGAAAAATGATCATAAGTCATTTTTTTCAGTGCCGTAGTAACTCTGAACAGTCACTAAATGAACCGTTGTAAGTCGAGGACTACCTGTATAGGGCTCTTGGTCCAGGGTCATCTCAACAGCGGTCCACACCGTGGCCCTCTATCGAATAAACTGCCCCACATACAATATTTGCCTTCTCCTGTAGAGTTTCTGGAAAGAGGTAAAACTTTGGCTGCGAGAAAAACTATTGGAGAGATCTTAGCTTTCCTTTCTGATCCATTTCTGCTGATTAGCACTACTGCAATATATTTCAATGTCTTTACCTTCCATCTCTATTTCGGCACTACATGGAGCCTTCTACAATAGAATGGCACAGAAATACTAGAAATAAATACATGTATCCTAGGGAGAGTTAGAATGGGAATAGGAGTAGCATACCTCTCAGGGACTTCTACAGTAGTTACCAATCCCACCCTTAAACCCCCCTCCTCCAAACACTAGGCTGGCATCTGGGCCCCATCTCTTCCCATGAAGGCTTTCTATAGACCTCCAGCAGCTGAGAAATCTGCATTATAATTTTAAGTTATGGTTATGTTCTCTGCTTTACCGATGCGCCTCTGTCTGTCTGCCGCCTTCTCACCCATTATCTGCTTATTTCCAAAATCAGATTTGAAGCCTTCCTCTTCTGGACCTTTTGTCTGCTTGCCTCTTTACCTCTGTCTTATTAAGGCTGCACAATCTATCACAGCCACAAGTTTCATCACTGTCACAACATTTTCCCCCTCAGGGAAGAACTCATTTTTTTTGTTGTGATGAGCTATGAAACAGAGGGAAACTGCAGTGTAGGTTCTAAAATAGGCACATCAAAATGACAACATTCCTATTGCTGAAAAAAATAGCTCCACCCACATTGTAGCTCCCAGAAACAACTCTGAGTGGCCCTTGGCCATAAAAATGTCTTTGTGTATCACAACAGAAACCAACATCTAAAAATTGTGTCCTACGCAAGTTCATTCCCAGCTTTATGCATTTTAATGCATGCCTGTCCCTGATTCTTCAAACGACTAGGGCAAATTAATCACATTCATTTATATTCCTTTCTTCTCCAGACATTTTGCTTAGCAAGAACACTGTAGAGAGAAGACTGAGGAACTGCATTTTCCCATAATTTCCATAGCAGTACAGGCAAATTCTGAATATAAATATATATCCAGAATATATATTTACCCTGCATCTCATTTAATGGAATTGTGGCTTTCCTCCCAACTCTTTCCAAAAATCAAGACTTAGGCTTAATCTGCCCCAATAAATTTCTCTTCCAATAAAATGAAGCAGCCCTTTTGTTTCAAGCCACAATAGCTATTCAGATGGCCAATGAAGCCACATGCCTGTTATTCACACCAAGCAAGTTTCAGTGACAGGTTTCTGGCTTATATTCTTTCAAGCCAGTGGCACATATTCCCACTCGGGGAGGGAAAACTGAATATTCGCAGATGTCTGAACAGATATGCCATTGGTTCCAATAGCCAAATTTTAAAAACAGAAGAGTGAGACAAGCACCTACAGGTTTTGCAGACCACATACACACTAAAGTAAAAAAAACAAAAACCCCGACACATCTGCTTACCACGTGTGTTGGTTGCCATGTCTGCTACTTTCTGAAAGGCATCCAGGAAGGCAGCTGCGGCTACAACCGTCGTCCTAGAATACAAACAGACAGCATAATATTAGAAACAGATTGTTGCAGTCTATTTGGGTCACTACACAAGAAGAAAAAATACTATTAGACGGTAAAAAGGCAGCTGTACGTGGAACAAAGAAATGGCGTTGATCTTCTCAATCTCGTCTCCTCTGTTATTGGCTCTTCAAAGGGACAATAAGTAATAGTAGAAAGCACAGGTAGTCCTTTTCTTAGAACAGTTCGTTTAGTGGCCATTTGAAGTTACGACGGCACTGAAAAAATGAACTTAGGAACATTTTTCACATTTATGATCGTCGCAGCATCCCCCTGGTCATGTGACTTAGGCTCGGATGCTTGACAAATGGTTCATATTTATAATGGTTGCAGGATCCCAGGGTCATGTGATCTGCTTTTGAAAAAGCAAAGCCAGATTCACTTAAGAACTGTGTTACTAATTTAACAACTGCAGTGATTCACGACAAATGTGGCAAGAGAAGTCATAAAAGGGGCGTTGTCTTACCTGAACGCCTTTTCTCAGTACGGAGATGGAGAATCCACCGGTGGGTTTCCATTGGATGCCTGCTCCTGAGACCAAGTAGCCAAAACTTGACACGCCCCCTGTTGCTGTGAGATCCAGTCTTATTGAGGGCGAAAGCGGCTAATGATGTGTTCGGTATTGGCTCTCTAACCCCTAATAAC